CTGTGTCTCTCTCGCTCTGTGTCTCTGTGTCTCTCTCTCTCTCTCTGTGTCTCTCTCTGTGTCTCTCTCGCTCTGTCTCTGTGTGTCTCTCTCTCTCGCTCTATGTCTCTCTCTCTCTGTGTCTCTGTGTCTCTCTCTCTCTGTGTCTCTCTCTCTCTGTGTCTCTGTGTCTGTCTCTCTCTCTCTGTGTCTCTGTGTCTCTCTCTCTCTCTGTGTCTCTCTCTCTCTCTCTCTCTCTCTCTCTCTCTGTGTCTGTGTTCCAGGACATAAATGAGATGGTGCACACAGAGAGGCCGGACTGGCAAAGTGTCATGACTTATGTCACAGCCATATACAAGTACTTTGAGACCTGACTCCGCCATCTCACCCACCCTGCTCCTGCAGCACAATCGGAGCCACGCCAGCCCTCCTGAGCTCTCAGCAGCCTCTCGGACCCACGAACGACTGCTATACCTCCCCCCCCCCCACCACCACCACAAAACACCCAGTCACGCTGCATGTCCTCAGTATTAAGCAGCATTAAACCTGAACCTCACTGGACTCGCACACAGATGCTACATCCTTCCAATGCAGCGTAGCGGGCGCTTTGTGTTGCCTGTTTGTCTACTGTTACACTAGTAAGCCATGAGAAGTAACTCTGGTCAACCAAGTATGAACTGACCTGCGATCATCTCTTCCTTTGGTTCACGCCTGAAGGAGCTGCATGAGAAACGTCTCAGTGCCTTCTACCTGGCTTTTCTTGGCAGATAATATTCCTTCACCTAGTTTTACCTAGTTTCCAGGGGAATTCCTGCAAAATCTGACCGTTTTTTTTTTTTTCTTTTCTTGGTTGTGAATAATTTGCAGAAAACATCAGCTTCTACAGAATAACAAACCACAAGTCAGAGATCTTGGAATTCCCCGGACAACCCTGAAAATACAAAAGACAGACGCAGCCTTTTTGCACCAAGTCTTCCAGACGTGACGGTTCGATACAGGTGCCTCTCTCTTTCCATGGATAAAAGTGCCTGTGAGAGTTATGATGCAGGAGACCAGGATATGAGCTCTCTCTCTCCCTCTATGTGCCAATCCTCCACAGAGGCCGGCAGTGACTTTTCACTACAGTTTGTGAAGCTGAAGATTTCGGGAGTTGTTGCCAAATATGTTTCCCAGCCTTGTGATTGTCGATTTCTGATGCTGCAGACAGCTGCTACATCAGCATCGGGTCGAGACTGACAGAAATATGCCATGTTCTACAACACTACTACACACTAAGCAGCACTAACGCACTCGTATGATGCTTGTTGTACACCGGTGCGTATAAACACTAATGAGTGTTTGCATTTTGTAGGCCTGCATTTGCCGTCTTAGACTTCTTTCATTAGGCACATACATGCACACGGCATCATTTCATCGTAAACCAAAATATGAGTGAGTAGTATTTAGTCTTTAGATAAAATGTGTGTTTGACATTTAAGTTGTGTTTAGATCAGAGGGCCTTAAACTTCAGAGTCTAATTAGAAGAATAGACTCAATGCGGCGCTGCATTAAAGGAATAGTTCAACTTATTGGGAAATACACGTATTCACTTTCTTGCAGAGCGTCAGAGGAGAAGATTGATTCAACTCTCAGGTTCCTGTACGGTTAATCTGAAGCTAGGACAAGGAGCTGGTTAGCTTAGCCTAGCATTAAAAAAAGCTCACTAATAGACATGCTATCTCTTAATTGTCTCTTTAGTCCTCGAGTCTGCTTAGAGGTGCTCGTTGGCAGACTTTGTTCTAGCTGTTTCCCCTCTGTTCCCAGTCTTAATGCTAAGCTAATCCCCTGCTGGCTCTAGCTTCATATTCAACGCACAGACATGAGTGGTATCTTCTCATCTTTCACCCGGCAAGACGGCAAACAATTGTACTTTCTAAAATCATCTATCATCATTTCTAGCTCAAAATATGCAGAAGTAATTGGACATTTCATTGCGCCTTTGACTTCGGTTGTGTGTGAATACTGATGCGGTGTTAGACAGGTCGTTTTTGAAATTCCTAGTATGACTTACAGTTACTATAGAGATACTTCGCAGCACACAATGTCATACAGTTTGTGCGATTTCAGTCGGCAACATTAATGTTGTGCATATCGCTTTAAGTCCCCTTATTTAGTATTTACAAGCTATATACGAACATGTAATCATTGATTTAAGAGCTTTAAGGACATTTTAAATGTTTAATAATGTAGTTTGTCAGCAGTAATAACTTCTCCAATAAGACTTATTTATATCATTACAACTGTGTTTCACTATATTGTCATTATTTATCTGTTAATATCCTACACTTATGGGTGTCCACGGGAGGAATTATAGTTGTGGACAAATACATTAATAAACACTTAAATATGCTTACAGCTACATTTTATGTAAATTATAAGCCTTTTATTAAATGTGTATATATATACTGCTTTGAAATGCTAAATAGGGGGATTTAAACTAAAGTGCCACCATGTTGCGCTGTGTGTTTATCGGGCCTCGACATACCAAGTTCACTGTATTTATTTTGCATGGTTACCAATTGTTGTAGTGAGGTCATTGCTTTATGTGTGTGTCTGGAGTGTCAATGAATTTACTTCACATACAGTACGTAGCTGCACTGAGATACGCTTTTTTTATTCCGCACTAATTTCCTGCCTTAACCAGTTCAGCCGAGGCTTCTGCGAGTGAAACTGACATTTCAAACCGCGGTGATCTTTGCTCACCAGGCATTGTGTCGCAGCGTGGAAACAGTCACTGAAACAAGGTCCTTCTTGTTTGAGCCCCTTGAGGAACACTTACTAGTGAGTGATGGTCATCAGCCGTGTCTGGTGGATTTGGACCAGATTAGGCTGCCAGCTGGCATCAATAGCAACATCAGATACGACATCTTTGTCTCGATTTAGAAGCACATCCTGCCAAGCTGCATCAACAGTGTGTACAGCTGCATTAGACATTCAGTGGTTTAACGTTCGCACAAGGGCCTGCAACAATGACAGTTTTCTTTATTTTCTTTGTGTGTGTGTGTGTGTGTGTGTGTGTGTGTGTGTGTGTGTGTGTGT